GCAATGGAACTGCTCGGCTAGACGCATGGGGTAGTGTTCACACAACAAGAAACAATGACACATTGAGCAGGAAAACATGTGGGTTACCCTTTGTTTTTGCAAAATTAGCAATGAGGTCATGTTGGCACACTGACGAATTCTGAGGCAACCGATGAAAACTGAGGTATTACTGTATAGCATAATTCATATTTATGTAACACATCAATTAATTATAAACAATAATTAATTCATAGCATAATCTTATTTACCAGATCTTTGAAGGAAAGCACTGATAAAAGGCAAAAATGTCCAAAATGCATTTACATTCCTTTAATTAATAAAGTATATTTTAACCAGTTATCTGGAAGTTCCTGTGTGATAAAATCTTTAAAGCAATTTTGCTATTAATTTGAAAAATTCAAATAGAACAAGAAGCAACCATACCACCAGAAATCTTATAATTGTTCTAGTTATATGCAAAATGTATAAAAGAAAAGGTTAAGCCATGTGCTCATATTCTACATATACTATCTGAAAATTTAAACTAAATTAATTGAAATACAGTATAACCCTAATTATCTATTCAAAGTAATGTGGATCAACACAACCTCAGATGAAATCGGTGTTTCAGACTAAAATTTAAATATAAAAAGTTACATGGTATCACTTTCAACTCTCTTTTTACACATTAGTGAATTTAATTATGTACAAGAAAAACAATTTTTACATTTATTATACAGCTGATACATACAATAGGTTTAAGAATAAAAATATATATTATTGTTGTTACATTTTAAAATGAATTGCTTGTCTCAGATTGAAATTAAATGATAAAACGTAACAAAAACAAATCCTTTTGGTATAAATGTTATTGTTTTAAACCTTATTTTATGAATTACAATATGAGAATAGTAATGTATTTACTTATGGGTTTATCTTGGTCAATGTAGAACCTTGGTTAACTGGAACTCAGATAATTAGAGTTCTACTGTGTTTTTAACTTAAATAATATATAACAATTTTTACTGTTGTTGATGTATCGTAAGTTCTCTACTGTATGTAAGGCATGTATTACAGTCAAAATTAATTTTCAAATAGCAAGTGTACTATAATCATAAATTCAATATAATAAACAGTAAACATTATTACAATAAATTTTCTTTTAATTGAGTATTCTTTAATAATTTCATAATCTTAAATGATCACAAGAGTTTAACTAAACATTTAAAAATATTGCTAAAAGTTACTTTTTGATCATTTATTTTCACTAGAATTTTTCAGGGAATTCCCAGGACTATAACATTTATACTAGGACTAAATGATATATTAATATATTTAACTATTTAAATAGAAGTTTTATGATAAATTTTATTTTAAACAATACAAAATAAAAGTTTAAGCAAAAAGTAAGTGAAAAATAGATAAGATTTTGCTAATTACATATAACAAAACATACGCAAAAATTAGTTTATGTAAAATGCAAACAAAATATGAACTAATAAGTAAGATATATAATTGCATGGATGAATTGACATAAACAAGGGAGAAGTATGTGTCTACTATTTGTTGGTTTGGTTGTACCTGTTTATAGACATATAAAACATACTGTATTAAGTAAAAAAATAGTAAAAAACCAAATCTGGCATTAATTACATTTAATAAATATATAAAATATAACATTTTTACAAAGGTACAAATAAATAGGTATTGTATTACATTCACAAAAAACAAAAATCAATATATAAAATAACAAAGAACATTATTAGCAGCCATTAAAAATTTTTGTTATTCTATAATAAAATTTTACTCATTTGCCTATGATACAAAACTCATTTAATTAAAATATATAATAAATCCAAGTTTTCTGTTTCAGTTTTGTAAATCTTATAAGACTTGAGTCTCAAGCAATTTTTCCAAAACTTGAAATGAGAAAACTGAAGTTAGCTGGTAATTCTAAGGTTAAGAACTCAAGTTATACCTATAACACACATAATTTTCCTAACAGCAACTTCTATTGAAACATTGATTTAGCAAATGAATTTATCAGCCAATTGTTTGTTCATTTTTTTCATCACAAACTAATTACCAATTACCATCAAATAATATCCTTAAATATAATTGATATTAAATTTTTATTAAAATATCAAAATTTCTTATTTCATACAAAATGAAGACTTATACATTATTTTATACATTCTGGCCAGGCAATACATGATACTTGGGACTCTGGAAGTTTTATAGAGTTCAAGAACCCCCTTTTTGGTATTGCACAACAACCTTGTCACAGATTCTTCAATCTGTTCCATTTATGAAGTAAATACTCAAAATCGATCTTAGCCTGGGGCCAGGAAGCGATATGAAGTAAATACTGTGCTACAGTAGCAAAGCCTTACTATGAAACAAGCCTTTGCTACTGTTCATTTTTATAGCCTGGACATATCATAAAACAAGCTGTACTTTCTTACTCTAATGCAGAGATTACATAACATTAAATTATTTATGCACAATAAAACCATATGAAAATATTTATATTATAACATTAAATGGTAGCCTGTAAAAACATTATTTTGAAAGTGCTTCAAGTCTCAAGTTCAGTGGTCCCCAACCTGTTCTCTGTAGAGACCTAAGGGCTTCATAAACATTTCCAGGGGCTCTGCAGCCACTCAACAAAAATAAAATAAATAAAAATTGAATAAAATTAAAGATAAAGAAACAATTTGCCAAGTTAAATTTGGTATTGCTGTTTTTCTCAATTACATATCTCTGTGAAGCAGGATTCTTTCCTTATACAAGTACCAAAACAAAATACAGAAACTGCTTAAATGCAGTCATTCACCTGCTATCATCATTAATTGAACATAAAATAAGAAAACTGAAGAAAATGAAACCATAGGTGTCTCATTAAACGTTTATACGTGATTTTATGTTATGTCTTAATTTAGGCCTACTCCTAGGCTCCCCAATAACAATATTCCTAAACACCATTAATTTGTAAGACATGGGATAGGCCTAAGAAGATCCATAATAGAAATGGATTCTTCAATCTGTTCCGTTAGAAATGGATTCAAAAAAGGCTCCACAATTCAAAAAGGTTGGAAATTGCTGTTCTAGTTCAAGCACTTTCAAGCATTATGCATCATCAAAAATGAATCTATTTCATACTGACTGCCGAGGTAGGCATAAAGTATAAAAAATTTTTTCTAAAATTTCTATCTTCAAGAAATGCCACTCCGATTAAATTTGTAATTTAAGTAAACTAGTAGTACAGATATATATACTTTAATACAAAATAAATTTTTGATTAAAAAAACACATCAATAACCTTAAGTTAATAATTAGAACCTGATGTTATTCAAAATAGTTTATTCATGTATGTTGAAATTCCTCATGAGCAAACTATATACTTACCATTACATGTTTTCTTAAAAATTTTTTTTTAAAGACATTTGATAGATATTTCCAAAACAGAATTATTAGTATTGCTGAGCTTTATAAAAAACACTATAAACAAAAAACCATAGGACTGGTTACTGACGCTACACCATTCAGGCTGCTATCATTTAAGCTCATTTCCATTGTGGAGTATCACATTGGATGGCAGACAAGTACAAAATGAGTCACATGACTCCACTTTGATGTCACTCGAGTGTTTCGCATAATGAGCAAAACAAATTGTAAAAACTGACTTACTTGACAAGCTATGTTTCACATAACAAGTGAGGAGAAGAGGGGAAGTCCCAGATTATGTGCATGCACCATCAGTCTGTGTTTAGCACTTGTTCCACTAGCATATTAGTTTCGCCTGTGATCACACATTTATCCAAACTTGTGTCCAGACATATTAGGTATAAACATCAACAACCATCGTCCATTATATAATAAACACACCAAACAATATGCTAAATTCACGGACTACGTAAAGGCTATAATTAAATATTAGAAATTAATTTGACAAGAGGTAGGCAGTTATGCTGTCATCTTATATCAAATTTAATGACCAATTTCAGATTAAATTTTTAAAATGTCTAAATTAAAAATTAATTATTTATAATTATTAAATTTAATATGAGATAGCAGCATATGCTAGTCAAATTAATTCATTTCTAATATTTAATTATAGTCTTTACATATCCCAAGAATTTGGCATATTGTTTGGAATGTTTATCAGACATAGCTGATTTTTTTGTTTTCTGCAAATTTTGAATTCACATTCCAGGTTGGTTCATTCTATTCAATACACTAGAAAAAATATGATGATTCACGTCCTAAACAATGTATATTGTAAAATTTTCTTTGAATAAAACATAAAATATTTTAGTATTTTTATTCAGCATGGAATGCATTATCGCATTTTACATTAATTTATATGGGAAAAACTGTTTCGCTTAACCAGTGTTTCACATTACAAATAAGATTCTGGAACGAATTATGCTCATTAAGCGAGGTTCCACTGTACAATGTTTAACAAATTGTAGTCTGCAGTCTCTTCAGAGTCAGAAAAGTTCTCAAAAAATCTATCAGAAATGTCATATGGGCAAGGCGAGTGACTTTTCAAGTAGTCACGACTGCAAGCGAGGTCGTACGACACATTGTACACATCCACCATCCAATTTGCAGCTCCACAATGAAGACAAGCTTAATCAATGGCAGCTGGAAAGGTGCAGAGTCGGTAAGTAATGCTGACTTTTTTGTTTATAGCGTTTTTTAAATGAGTGATAACTCAAATTTTCTGTGTGTTTTGGACATGTCTAGCATGTATGTCTCTATTATAAATAAAATTAAAAGAGAAATCGTTGGTATATGGCTTATAAACATTATTATTATTATTATTATTGCCTTAAAAAATGGTAAAAAAAGCCAAGGGCATCCTATTCTAGAAACTGTTTTTGAACAATAAACCTTTGTATTGTATTATCAATTTAATCTTAGTGTAATGATAACTCTTACCACCTTTTAATTTTATAAACGCGACAATGTTATTGTCATAATAAAATAAATTTCTCCAAATACAATTAACCTACCTTTGACACACGTGCATTGTTCGTATTTATTACACTTCTATTGTTCTCTTTACTACTCAGTTCCGTCGTCGTGGGTTCAAAATGGTCTCCAATCTTTCTATTTGTTAACTGAATGTTTCTAGCAGGATTACTTTCAATATTATTTGTTAAATTTAAGTTAGTCATTTCTTATACTTCGAAAATCGCCATACAAAATAGTAAAAAATCACGTTGTAGCTCTATTACGACATTAAAACAATTTAGAAATTAAAATGATAAATAAGGTGTAAATTTTCATTATATTAATAAATATACGTCAAAAAAATCAATTTAAAATACTTACCAACAACCCGTTCAAATTCGCTCCTCGACTGTCGTACTGAAATCGTATGAAACACGTGGTAATAACTTAAGTGTTGCCATAACTTTCAAAAAATTTATTAATTGACAAATTCAAAATTTTGTAAATATTTAACATAAAATTGAATTAATAATTATTATTAATACTAAATTTTGCTTAAATATGTACAGTAATATAATAAAATAATATGCAAATATAATAAACTTATAATAAATAAATTATTATTAACAAATATAATAAGCTTACGTTTTTACATTATCGATTTCTAATTAGATTTTTAAATTAAAATTGGAATTTATCGATTTTTCACATCTTACTTTATTTTTATAAATTTAGTAATAAGTAAACTATTGAATTCCAATATTAACCACGTCCCGACAACGACCACTTCTAACGAAAGATGTGTCGATTCAGTTTCGATATTGACAGTGTAATGTTTAAGCTTAGTTCACACTGAGCGCGATTCGCTGGCGAAAGCGAATAACCCGTCAAACGAGTCATGTTTCACCGGTTATTCGCTCTGTTTTTCACTTTCGCCAGCGAATCGCGCGCCAGTGTGAACTGAGCTTTGCGCTTTTAAAAGACTAGAGTTCACGTATAGCCTTGAAAATGCATTGTCAAGAAAATGTGGATATCAATAATGGTAATGTTTCCAAGGACTTTCTGTACTATAATTAAAATATAATATGAATATTTTAGAGTGAAATTTATTAGTAATACCAGTCGACCCCCCTATAACACTGTTGATTATTCCGTTTTATATGAATTCCATGTTGTACGAGTCACTTAGAATTTAGAAATACGTGTACCGGGCTGTGAACGGCTCACGTATTTGTAAAATATAAGTGTCTCGTACAACATGGAATTCATATAAAACGGAATAACCAACAGTGTTATAGGGGGTCGACTGGTACTAAACTTAAATGCATCAATTTAAAAAGCGAACCACGTTATTATGTTTAATGATACTTAATTTTGTTTATCTTTAGTTTTCAACAGGAAATTTGTCTGAAATGTTTTCTGTCATCATTTACCTCAATGTCAATGATTTACGGATGAAATTTCTTCAAATCCTGTTCACGTGTCACGAGAAACCACAATTATTTGTCTAAATTTCTGAACAGGTTTTATCTACACTTCATCGAATTTATCTGCTTGATACATTTCTTTCTTAATTTTTGCATTTCACTTACTTATGTGTCAAGTAAAACGCCCTGTATCTCCTGATATTCGATCGACGAAAACGACATCTTTGTTAAAGTAAGCGGCTGTCTTCTTTCCTTAGTGTTTGCCGTAATATTCAGCATCATCAGACGAGTAAAATTGAACTTAACAATAAAAATAAAAAAATTAAATTACTTTCGTCAAAATCAGTTGTTTTCTATGACATTAATTAATAGTTACATAAGAATTGCCATAATGATTTTGGCAATTAATTAATTATTACATTACGGCTTCAGTTCAATGTATTTTTCTTTTATCACGATTTAAAAATAAAAGAGAATTATTTAAACTCGAAGCACTTTTCTGTAGCATCGAAGCTAGAATATGGATGATTTTACTCAGTGGAGGTTTATTGTACCTGGCTTTCTTTCTTTTCATGATTATTGTTATTTTATCAAAAGCATTCCAGAAAGTATCGGAAGAACTGTACTTACTAAGAAAGAGAAATCGAAACTTGGAGCTTGAATTGGAAGAAATTATAGTACAACAACATGAAATTTGGACATTTACCAATCAACTCAACGGACCATTCAATTATGTGTTCGATTTTTTATGCTACTTTATTAACAAAGACGTGTCTACTTTATTTTTCTGCTATCTTCTCAAAAGTGAAATTCGCATTGAAAGTATTTTTATGATTTGTGCTGTAAAAACTTTTCTATGTATTTTAGTAGGATTATCAGCGTCTATTTTTATACAAAAACGTAAGAAATTTTATTTAAAAAATAAAAATAATTTAAAATCAAACGTTTTTCTTTCGTTTTTCTCTTTCAGATGCGAACAGCCTTTCAATATATAAGATTTGATGATCGCGATCTCAGTTTAGAACAGAAATTAAAGGTAAACTATTTTAAATTTGTTTTTTTTTTCATAAATAAATGTTAATTTTTTTGTAAAATTTAGATACAATAACGACAATCAATTATTGTACAGCTGTTGAATTGTATGAAGAGATTTGCTAAAGTATCTCTATGCTTATCCGTGAATGATTATTTCAACGTTACCAAGAAATTTCCCATTAAATTGTATTTAACTACATTTCATAATATTAATTATGGAAATTTTGTATTCATATATTTAATTTTTGAAAATTTTTGATGGCCAGTTCACTCTGTTTCGTATTTTGTGGTCTTCTAAACCTCAGGACAGTTTCGAGTCGCAAAAATTGATATTCTCGAAATGTTAATTTTGAACTCAACGTGTATTTTAATATAAGATTTCTTAATAATTACTTAATTATATATTATATAAAAGTATATATTTAGCAATTTGTTTGTTCATACACCTATTTTCTAATCTTTAACTGTAAATGTTTTCTTCAATCATACGCAGAGTCGTCAAGGGCGATCGTATGGCAGTGGTGAGGGACGACTATAGTCGTCAAATTCTTTTGGGGTATCGCCAAAAACTAGCCTAAAACTACCGCAAAAAATCACGTAAAAATGAATTATTTAACAAAAAAAATTGACTTTTCTTTACTAGACAGAACTGTTTATAAAATATTTTTCCGAAACAGTAATGAGAAAAAACGCGTGGAAAAATACTTTAGAAATTTCCCACGTTTATTCTCCACTACTAGGGATAGAACCATACCCGTCTAGTCCACTGTTGAAAGGTTATATAGAGTTCTCTACATAGAATATAATGTTATTGGCAGGTTAATATGTTATTTTTCTTACTTTTCATAGGATGTCACGTTTAATTGCGTGACGCCTGAAACGTGACTCGGAAAAGTGTCTTTCATAAGTCATATGACAGGATTTGCTGCACTTTCCTGTCATCATCGAAAAATTACATTAATTTTTAAGTTATGAATGCCAGAATCACAAGGTGTAGCGTTATTTTAATTTTAGTTTGGGAGTGATATCAGACGATTTGAAAATTCGTACAGGAAAACCTCGATTTAACAGAATTTGAAATACATATTACTGTACACATGTGTATTTAATTCACGTATAACTGCGTCTTTGCACTTTTGTGTAACTCATAATTAGAAACTTTATTAATTATTTTCAGTTTATTGTGTTTTGTAACTACATGATGTTAATAAAATGTTTATGTTAACTTTGTTACGTGTCTGTAGCTACATTCCTCTAAGTTTTACTACATTGCTAATGAAATCACACAATCAATGCAGCTGAGTTGCCAATTTTACTTATTTCTTTCTACATTCAGTGGACGTATGAACGATTCAGCTATGTAAATTACCCGAATTATAATGTCCTTGCTGTTTTTATAATAGCTGTAAAAAATAAACCAATTATAATGGAAGTAATGCGATTCAGGTATTTTTGTTAAAATATTTAGCTATAAATTTACATTTTGAGTTGGTAACGCTAATGCAGCTATCATTTCCCTACTAAGATATTAACGCAAAGAAATCCAAGTAAAGAAAACTGTACTAGGAGAACTTCGTACCTGAATAAAATACGCGACGATTGGCGAACTAATAGTAGATTATTAGGGGCATTAAACTAAAGCGATTCCACACTCTGCATAAGCAATCAATTCTTATCTTTGTTCTTAAACTTCCTGAACATACATAATAAACGATCGACAGGGTATGGGCTTCGTTACTCCTGCCACTGTCAAGATAGTTCAGATTATTCCTATTTTAAAGAAAAGAAAAAAAAAGCTCAAAAATATTTACCAAAAGTCAATTGAAATTTTCCAATGCATTTACATTAGAAATCGAAAAATCGGTATACTGTCATTATAATTACTTTTTGAAATTGTTATGCAAGGTGTAACACCTTAAAATATACAGGTCATTACGAAATTCCTCTTACAAACTTATAAATTACTTACAAATTATTTCAGCAAAATTATGATAAGAATTTTCGGTAATATTTTTCCAATAATTTCTTTATTAAGAAATAATTTCTTTATTAAGAAATTATAGAAGTTTAATCTTCAGTGACGTTATTTCCCGGTTCTCGTTCAAATGAGGATAAATTCATGTTTTGTTTTTTATTTGAATTGCAAGGTTTTACTTAAAAAATATATATATATATATATATAAGTAGATTCATCTTAAAGCTGTCCATTGCAAAACGCTCTTCATTAAAGAAAACAGACAGCCATTTTATAACACTGAGGTTCGCCGTAAATTACCATCACGTCGACGTATTTTTCAACCCTGTAGTTAGATATGTTAGCCATGAAGATCACCGGTAAGTGAATTTCAGTGTAATGTAACAAGTATTCTACATTAGCTGTAAAATACAGATGAAATCATGCCATGTTTACTAATGGAGAACACTTAGAAATCTGAACGGCTTCGTGGGCAAAAGCAAGAAGTGCTTAAGAATCATTGAACGATTATTCTTTGTCAGACAGCAAGTAAAAATAGAGGACGAAATTAAAATTGTTAAAATATGAGTGTCATTATAAATACGCCTCGTATAAAAGAAATAAAATCTATTAAGTTGTAAAGGCTTTGTAATTTTACAAATAATTTCAGAAGATATATAGTGTATAAGATGACTAATAAAATTTTATTTATAGTTTTTATTTTAATTAAATTTTGTGTTTCAGAGTTCGAGTTCTTGATGTTGATTCAGTACAGACTCAAATTTCCTTCTAGTTAACAGTTTTACTTGAAAAATATGTTATATCGAATAGCAAATAAAATTTTCTTTATGATATCTTTGTTTTCTCTGCATACGAATAATTTGAAATTGCACTAAATTGGAGAAAAATTACTAATTTTGTGTGTTAGATGAAAATGTCACGTGCAGTTTATTTGTTTGCATTTTTTAGATAAAAGTACCAAATTCCGGAAAGTATTTCGAAAGTACTGTACAGTACGTATTGGCACAGAAGAAAAACAGATTATGCTCCGTATTTGTAGTGATGGAATTTTCTCTTTTGTGCAAAATTAGGTATCTTAACGTGGTAAGAATTTGTGGTAAGATGGCTTGTGTTGTCACTTAAAAGGAAATGGCCGATTAAGCTCAGTGGAAACTTTGAAATCATAGCTACATCATACATTAAAGCCCCCTTCTTATTTAGGAAAGCCACCATTGAAAAGAAACTCGGAAAAAATTGAGAAAAAATTTCCTTTCTTGTAGTAGAAACGAGTCTAGAAAATCGAGTTGAGTAAGTTTTAAGATTTTCTCTATGAATTTGGAAAGAAAATTGCTTAAACCAATATCAATCAACTTTGAGTTGTAATTCGTCAATACGTTTGATAATGCCGTACACCTGAAGTTGATTGCTATTAGTTAATCGGTTTCTCTTGTTCACTCGAAATGCTGCAATCGATTCTTTCTTAATTTTGATTATGTGAGTTCTGACGTTATCACAATAATAACTAATACTTGACACTACATTTTCTTTTACGCATCTAACAAGAATATCCTTTAAGATCTAATGTCACATTTTAAAGACTTTCAAGAAGAAATTCTTATAACATGTAATAACTATATTTTCACACACGCAAAACGTTAACCATATTTATTTCAACTCTTCACTCAATATGTATTGTACTATAAATATCTCTTTTCGTATTCAAGGATTTAACTTGGTCCACAATGAGGTTGTTAGGAAGTGAGAGATTGAAATATATGATTGATAAGACAAGCATATTTAGGTCTAACGAAGATCAATAAAAATTTCTGATAATTTGATCAGACTTGTATCAGACTAGACTCAGACGTCCTTTACAGGAGTGGGCTAATGTCGCTACTGCTTCGTGCATTCAGATGATCCAGATATATTTGATTCAGGATGCCGGAGCAGTATAAACCTAATATTGTCCATTAACTTGATAATAGACAATATTAACTTAATATTGTCCATAAGCTTGATTGAAATGTGATTAACTAACACATTTATAAAGAAAGTTGCATAATTGTATGTGAAATAGTCTATTACTCACATAAACTATAAGTAACACAATGATAAGCATTCATGTATCTAAAAATAGGCAAAGTACAAGAAAATTTCGGTTGGTTTCAGAGTGGTAGCAAATGTATTAATAGTATTACCATTATAATCTTATGGGACTTTCTTTAGTGGGACTTTTCTTTCTAATGTGATCTGTGGTCAAATGGTGCATACCTGTATTTTAATTATTATAAAATGACAAGAAGCTTAATTTTCAGGGTTTTATAAAAAACTGTACATGATAATAACGAATAAAATCATTATTAAGTCTGACTTTACTGGACATACAGAAAAAATCTTCGAATAATTTTGCATTTCTTGCCGTTTCAAGGTGCCCCGAGTCCAAAAATATAAAAATCTTCGGTGGTTATCTTTTCACCATTTGCAATACTTTCCCTCTGTTATGTATAACAATGTAGGGAAAGTAAAAATTATATCTTCACACATTACAACATTAAAATTTATAATGCATTTTACGTAGAGAGAAAACGGACCATTCCAAATTACAGCAAATCTTTACAATTATAGCATTTATATACGGGTACTATAAATGTAAATAGTTTAAAGTGAAGTAATATATGTTTTTTATCATAGAATTTAAGAGGAAGAAGTAAATTAATTACAATGAAAGGAGTCAAAGATAACTTTTTAGAAATTAAGACGCGTTATCTTACAGTGGATATCCTTTTCCGTTTTAAGATTACTGGAGAATTAACCTAATTACGAGTTTCACGAACATTTTATATGAGTTAACTCTGTAGCGTAAGATGCAACAATTCATCAGTTTGATTTTCTTTTTATTTCTATATCAGAAACATGCATTTTGCTCTAAATTAATGTTTAACGTGAAGGCAACAACCGAAAATCCAGAACGTTATAGTCGTTTCTACAGATGTAAGTTTCATTAATAATTAATTAAATTAATTAATTTAAAATTATTAAATATGTTNCATGCATTTTGCTCTAAATTAATGTTTAACGTGAAGGCAACAACCGAAAATCCAGAACGTTATAGTCGTTTCTACAGATGTAAGTTTCATTAATAATTAATTAAATTAATTAATTTAAAATTATTAAATATGTTTATTAGGGTTATACTTGCTACCAGGAGAAAAATTTATATCCCATTCTATATATAAGCCTATCGATTGTACCGATATTAAAGAAAGTGGCATAAATTCATCAGGAATTTACAGTATATGGCCAGTATCACATGCTGAAGGTTTTCAAGTGTATTGTGATATGGATACCGAAGGCGGAGGATGGACGGTCAGTTTGATAAGTAACTTTTTATTTAAAATCTGGACCTTTCTGTTTTTCGTTAGCTCTGTTTATGTAGGTGATCGGACGTCCGAGGCTGTTGAAGCGTTAGTTTACGTTTCTGGGGAATCCGGGATCGAATACGTGCTTCCGATAACTCCAGAAATTTATTGAGAATGGTCTAACCCGGATTTGTTAGGCCCTGATCCTGACTATTCAGGTGCCTGGCTAAATCCGAATGTTCCCGATAAAAATACCCTCTTAGTGCCAACAGAACAGAAAGAGTCCAAAAGAAACATCGTCCTTCTATTAATTATGTTTTGAATTTTTAAGGTTTTTCATAGGAGAATTTCTGACGAAAATTCTACGAATTATTTTCGTGAAATTTGGGAAGATTACTCTTTGGGTTTCGGTGAATTGGATAGTGATTTCTGGTTAGGTAAAATATTCTGCATTGATTAATATTAAAGTTTTTCAAGTTGTGTTTTAGTATCGGTAATATCTAATGTACTTTATTTAGGCAATGATAAACTGACAGCGATAACCAGTCAAGGAAATTACACAATGAGACTCGATAGAGAAATTAAAGGCGGATTCGCTTTTCATAATTACATGGATACATTCAAAATTGGAAATGAATACGAGTTATATCGATTATATTTAACCAATCCCTATAAAATTTACGGTGAGTTACACCAGCTTGTTTAATTTAAAGCATTACGCATAATATTTGCGTGAGTAATAAATGTGATAATTTCTTATATTTCAGTGCCTAATCTGTCGGGCTATACAAATTACCTAAATTTTAGCTCGTTCGATAGCGACAATGATTTTTTAGAAGACCTGAACTGTGCTGATGTTTACAAATATGGTTGGTGGTTCGATGGATGTTTAAACTTCGACATATATTTTCAAGGGAAAGATTACATCGATGTAATTAAGAATACTCCGTTGCATCAATATATGTACAAAATGGAAGCGAAGATAAGACGTAAACCTTGTACTAATTGATTTGATTCTTTCGGAAATTTTAATTTCAAAATAAAATATGCATTATCATTTATCATAATTAATTTTAGTAATTTCCATATTCTATTGTTATTAATTGCGAAGACCATGACAATTTCAGATTGGCAATCGATAGCTGTATCGTCTTCCTTGAGACTGTGTTTCCAGATTGCGATCGTTCAGGTCACTCACAAGGATGGGAGATCAAGTATCAGGCTGGCATTGATATGGAAACAATCGATCTCGTTGCATAACCTGTTAACTATGAAATAAATCGATGATTCTTAAATTTCATCTTGAAGGATCTTTTCAGAATAATAGTTAGGTTAATCGGTTTGGCAATTTTTACAAAATGAACAACCTAAAGGAAATTTGAAAAAAAATTATCAATTATACACAGCATTTGAAGATAACTATGCATGAGAAGAAAGCTATAAATTTCTTTTATGAATGCTGGGTACTTTTTGATATCCCTGAGATGAAATAATTTGTACACGGACTTTCTTAAAATCCAAAGAAACTACAATTATGAGATTTGTCTGGCGTGCCAAATATGATTAATTAATTAATTAACTGAAGTATGTTTTATGTTTTATTTATTCAGCACAACGAAGTGCAGTTGATAAGCCACAAGACATTTATTACATTCTTTATTTAATCTTTTAACAGCTATTTTGATAATTGATTATTATTGATATTTAACTAATTTAAATACGTTTACAATTAATAGAATATTTTCTGTTCATTTTTCCCCGAATTTTCTTTTAATCTATATAATTATTAACATGATTTTCTAATATTATAAACGTTTCTATCATTTTATAATATTGGAAGCCAATTTTCATTTATTTTTATGAAAACAGTTTCTATGGCTTTTTGTTAAATACAGCATTAAAAGTTGATTTTTTAAAATTATTATAGTGATGGATAAAAAAAATTATACATTAAATATGCATGGACAGATTCAAGTTAAAGTTATTTCTTTTACCAAGATTACTAAAATTGAATTTCATAATTTAGAATTAAATTATAGTGGTAGAAAATAATATAAAAGTGTTTATAATTATTTGTACTGTACAATTTCAAAACTATTCTGTGTAATAATTCGACTCTGACTTAATGGCTATTTTGATATTATTGATGACAAAAGTTTAAAATTATTGATTTCCTTATCTGTCCAATGTTTTTGTTTGACAGAGTTGAATTGTTTGGACCACGTGGCTTGAAAAATTTCATCAAGATCCTCAGCAGAATGTGACACGTGTGAAAGAGGACCACTGAGTCATAATATTTGCATGTGCAACTATCTGTATGATGTTGCACATGCAAATATGATGTTGTGTATGATGTCGACCTACATACACCATGTGTATGTTGTGATTGGGTAAATCAAATTAGCAAGCATTGACACTACTGAGACTTTATTAAACTAATTTTTTCACATTTTTTCCTTAATGCATGAAATATTATTTTGTACCATAAATAGTACTGAAATATTATAATGTACTCAAAATGTACTAAAAATCTAAGTGTACTTTCAATGTATTCGAAAGGGCAAAATGTACCCGAAAAATACAAATGTACTAGTAATGGCAACGCTGGATATGACTCTGTGGATTTTCACAAATGCCTGTTATCTTCAGGATTTCAGTTACAAATGAGGCAGTTGCCCGCGAAGAACTCAGTTGTTTCATTGATGATGAAGAATGTGTGTTTCGTAGTTTTTCAGATTCTGAATATGTCAGGCCCTACGCACAACTTCTTATTTACTTGGTATGATGGGTTTTCAGCCTTCACTACTGAGCAGTGGCGGCGCAAGACCTAAATTCGATGTGGGCAAGGTACATTTCGCGAGGCCCTCTGGTGGCGCAAGAAGACGGATTTTATAAAATAAAAAGCAGTTGAAACTGTCAAATTTTTATTCATAAAAATGCAAAACTATATTCTTTGACTAACATTAATTAAAGAAAAATAAAAAAAAAGAATTAAAGAAACAGAAATTTCCTGCTTTTAGCCTTACTGAACTTTTTAATAATTGTATCGTAATTCATCTTAGATGCTAAATATGCTTCAATAGATAAAACTGCCAAAGCTGAAAGTCTTTCCATGCCCATTGTGTTTCTTAAATAATTCTTTATTAGTTTTAATTTTGAAAAGCTCCTTTCAGCGTAGGCAGTACTTACCGGTAATGTTAACAAAATTCGAATGACAATGGAAATATTTGAGTAAATTTCTTTGAAGTTATTTTCTGTTATGTATTGGAGCAGCTGTTTCACATTTTTAATGAAGTTGGGTAAATTTGGGATCATTGTTTGTAATTCTTCATATAATTTATAAGGTTGGAAGTCACTGCTCTCACCCACTCGCAGGACTGAGTGTAAATCTTGACAGCTTTTTAATATTTGCTCTTTTGGAATATTTTTTAACTTGCAATTCATCGTAGACTGCAATTTCTTACTAACTAAACACATTCAAGAAAACCTTTAAATATGCAGCCGTATTTATTAAATTCTAACGTTTTCGGTCATATTCAATGACCTTTATCAAGAAAAAACGGAAAAAAATCGAACTCCGAACTTTAAACTTGAATTAACGATACAAGCGTTTTGGAACGTTTTTTAAAAAAATATATTCTACTGGAATAACGCCATCTCTATATAACGGTTGTCATTATATATGGATTTGGATTTGCCAAAATCCATAAAAACGATAAAAGCTTAAGGCCTGTCGTTGATAAAGAATGCGCACCCACAATATTATTGGAAAGGTTTGTCAATGAGTTTATTCGCAAAAACTCGCCACCATATCAATACAGCGTAAAACAACCTTTAGAACTTCTACATAAAATGGCAAATATGAAGTCGCAAGAAGTTAAGTATATGACCGTATTGGACTTCAAGGCGTTGTACCCTTCCATCCAACTAGAACCATGTTTTTGCCATTTACGGGATTTCCTTTTAAGCAAGATCAAGCACCCAGAAAAGAAAAGAAAGCAGATCTTAGAGTTGACGCATCTAGCAACTTTTTCATCTATTTTTAACTTTAAAGGTGTCATATACACGCAGCAGAAGGGCGTCGCCATGGGAAGCCCAGTGGCGGGTACTTTATGTGAAATGGTGTTAAGAACGCTAGAAAATGCATTCGTGCCGAATTACGAAACACAAATTCTAATGTTCTAATGGAAAGTCAAACCCAACTTACAACAATTCTTAAAGGACATTAATGACAACAAGTTCGGCCTCGAGATTGAACTCGAGCAAGAAAGTGATACGCGCATACACTTTCTGGATTTATCTATACAACTTGACAGCAAAGGGGATTTTCTCACTAAAGTATATAGAAAGCCTACGTACAACCCGATATTTATCTCATGGAATTCGCACGACCCGCCAACTTACAAACTAGCTGCATTCGGGCGCTCATCGCACGAGCTTACTCACACTGCAGCAGTACCAAAGACAGAAACGAAAAGCTGTGTTATATCAATAAAATAGCTAAGAGGTATGGAGTTAATATTAAAGCTATTACTAACCAAAGTAAGACACGTAGCAAGGTGCGAAACGTACAAAATACAGAAGAGTTCACACTGATGGAATATAAGGCCTCACTGAGCAGTGTCTATAGGCGAATAGGAGCAGCTACGAAAAAAAATATACAAAAGGAATCCTACTATTTACCAATTGCTAAGGGCAGACAAAGATGGCGTAGACAAAAACACTCTTCCAGGGGTCTACAGAATCCCCGTTACAGACACGCGGAGGCAGAATATGATGTTCTACATCGGAGCTACCGGAAGATCCCTCAAAGAAAGGCTGTCAGAACACCAGAGAAACATAAGAAGCGAACAACCGTGCACTGGCGACTTACGTCTTAGCTGACCCCCAAGAGATCAAAGCTGAATGGGACCGAGCCAGATTGATACAAATAGTTCGCGACAAAAAGCACCTCCGGTACGCTGAAGACTGGCATATCTGCAAAACAAGCCAAAAAAGATTAGCTATCAACTTCCGAGATGCAAGCAAAGTATCGGCAGCCTGGCGAGCAAGTATATTATAAACGTCAAGAACGATGGAAGCGGCAACTTACTTAAGGGCAGAAATCTTAAGTTAATGTATTTGCTAAACACATTGTCTACTGTGGTTATATAATGACAACCGTTATATAGAGATGAAGTTATTCCAGTAGAATATCCTTTTTTAAAAAACGTTCCAAAACGCTTGTATCGTTAATTCAAGTTTAAAGTTCGGAGTTCTATTTTTTCTGTTTTTTTTTTGTTTTTTCTTAATAAAGGTCATTGAATATGACCGAAAACGTTAGAATTTAATAAATACGGCTGCATATTTAAAGGTTTTCTTGAATGTGTTTAGTTTTTAACTTGCTTAGATCATAGAGAAAACCGAAATTTTCAAAATGTTGATTTAAAGACATAAATCTCGAATCCATATAGCTTATTATAGAATCAATTATGGTGTTAAAAAAATCTGTTTCATACCAGCTTTTGGGAGACTGTATAGGTTGTTCGCTGCCTTCGTAATCGAACATCCTTTTCCTTTTGGCTACCCTTTCATTTTTAAAGTCATAACTGTTCATAACTGCTATTCTCAATAAATTGACGAGCGTCAAACAAGCATTTTCGAATCCAGTTTGTCGATATTCTTTGATCCAGTCACGAAATGTACACAAATGTTCAAGAGCAATGCTTAAATGGACTTGTACCGATTGCCATAATTTGCTTATGATATTAACATGCGATAATATCTCATACCAGACATGTAATAATATGATCAATTCTAAACTGAGCATTTCGTTTAAAACCGAATCACAATCACTGAGAATCCTTGAAATACTGTATATTAAAAATGATCGGTCGAATAATCTGCAAGTAAAGCGTAAAGGTCGTCTTATAAAAATCATAATTTTGAATTAAGGTAATTAGCTGTAACTATTACGTGATTTTGCTGTCACTACATCTAGGTAAAGTACGTGATTGAATTATAAAGTAAAAGTGGAAGATCCAGTTTCGCTGCTTGAACTGGAACTATTGAAACTGATCCGAGTGCGAAATGTTCGGACGGAACGGTTCCTGGAAAACATTACGTAACGTCGGAATTGCTTAGTGTGTTGGACTAGACCGGTCCAACAGACTAGTCCGTGATCGCTTTTATATAGGAGATAAAACGTGCATCTGTATTATTTGTTAAATCTGCTCCAAATTATTCTTATTTGACTCAAAATCTGGAGAAAATATAGATTACCATAAAACCTGGACTCCTTATTCTTACAATGATTTCATCACCCCTTATTATCTCTTAAACCTTTTGTTCGATTTTCACCAAATATTTCACACTTAATCCGTTTTCTTTATTTGTTTCCCTCGGTATTTCGCAGTAAACATAACAATAGTAAGCTGAAATAACCAAATTTGTAATATTGTTTTTAATGTAATGGTTTAAACGGGCAATGCCGGGCATCTGTTGCAACAAATAATTACTAACTCTAATAAAAATATACGTTTTAAAAATATCTTTGTAAATTTAAAATACCATATATTGATTTGATTATTACTAAAAATCCATGGAATATCTTCATTAGTTCAAGTTCAAATTCACATAAAGAATTTACAGTTTCGTGGAAAACCTCTCTTATACAGCATCTAGAAAGATGGGCTGGCGAAGATATTAGGACATTTTGGGACTAAATCATAATATGATAATTAACAATCTTATTGATACATTGTTCCTGGATAAAAGTAGTATAGAAAATGATTATGAACAGATATACTAAGTACTGTACATAATAATCCCCATAGTTACAATATGATAACTTTATAAATAAATAACATATATTTAAATCACGTAGGCCAGTTTTTAAGTTGAAAGTCCAGTACATACGAGTAATGCAATTATAATCGTCCCTACTAAAGTTGCCATTTCGGTTCGTTTATTTTTAAGTCTTTAAGGGGTAATATAATTGTTTATAAATTGTTACATTGCACATATATTTCCTTGCGTATATGTCTTAAAAAGCTGTGGTTAATTTAGTTATCGCAATTAATTACATCAACATTACTATTTTCTATTAAATATCTACATTTATTAAAAATTCTTAATTATAAATTAATTAAAAAAAAGAAAAATATCATATCAATTTGCCCTAAAGCACACTCAAGGAAGATCTAAATTTTTCGAAAAATAAGGCTTATTGAAGTTTAATGGGGCCTCATTGTTTGTTTAATTAATGAAAAACCTTTAAATTGAAGACAAATGATACAAGTAACACAATAAATTAGCATCGTTATTATTATAATATTAATATTAACTATTTTTTACTATACGATTAGTGCTCATTGTTAATGAAAAAGTATTAAAAATTTATGATAACAATTCAATTATAGTAAGCCCATCACACTTGGGGGCCGAGGTATTTAGCTCTGTGAGTGCTTCTGCAGGAGACAAAGCGATAGGAAGTGACCTTGATTCCTACTTCTAAGCGCATGTCTCCTGCATGCTTTTACTGGCGTTAAGCTTTTGTTTAAATTAGACCAATCAGAAAGCATACTGAAACGTCCTTTGTTTGATTTGTTTTCAACTGCAATTTTTTGTGTCCTTTGATCTAGTCTTTATCTACTGTCAAAACGAAAGGCGACTCTTACAGGAAACAACTACATCGTGCGTGTGAGCGTTTGTCTCAGTTATTTTGAAGGCCGAAATGAATTATAACGGATCAAACGGCAAAGAAATTAAAGAACTGATACTTGATTCTTCAAGAAAGAAACATTCCAGATTACCAAGATTCGAACATACTGGTCAGCAAGAACTGCCGATTCAACAAGATGGCGCGACTCCTTGTAAGAAAAGAAAATTCGACGATTCAATCAAGTGGGTTCAATCTTCTAATTTACTTACAAAGGATTTAAAATTCGATGGCAGCGGTTCGGGAATTAGGTCGACGCTTTTAAATGAGAATTCCACCGAATTAGAAATATTCGAACAATTATTTACAGAAGAAAGTGTAAATTTAATCGTACAAGACGCTAATCGTCATCATCAATACTTAAAAAAGACACATGAAGTTTCCGAACGGATGTTTAAATGCGAAGACACAAACAGAAACGAAATTATGCTGTTTCTGGCATTGTATATTAGAATAAGGCAGGGAAAATTCTCGTCAAATTGCAAATATTTGTCTGTAGATTGGTCATGGTGTGAATCGTTTTTTTACGATACGATGGAAAAAAATCGCTTTTTCATGCTAATGGAAATGTTGCAATTTGCAGATTCGCCTAATCATCAAATATCAGACAGATTACATAAACTTTGTAGGTTAATGAATAGCATGAGAAATTCGTTTACAAATGCATTTTATCCTTTCGAAAACCTGTGCATTGATGAAATACGTCTTAGCTGGAACGACCGACCATTTCGTAATTGTGATTCTTTGCATCGGAGTCAATTTTATGCAGATTTAGTTACGCTGTCAGATTGTAAAACTGGATACATAGTCGATTTTATTACTTATACCGGCGAAGATACGGCAGTTTCACCTTCGTTTCCTCAGCATCACGATCTGGTCGTATTAACATTATTACAGCCTTATTTGGGAAAAGGTCATAAATTACATCTGAATAATCTATCTACGTCTACCTTATTATTTGAACGTTTATACAAATATGGGGTTGAGGCATGTGGTTTTGTAAAACTATCAAGAGATCATTTTTTCTTCGATAATAATCATTTAAAGACAAAAGTGATAAAAGAATTCGATAGAGGCGAATCGCACTTTCAATACTTCAAAGAAAGCAAGAAAATTTGGAAATCGTCTGCAATTGAAGAGCACGGAATAGTCGAACGTGCGAGCTTATCTAAAAGAAATGCCCATATCATTGATATTCCACTAAATTGGTATACAAACTTATTTTTACTTATACTGCGCGTTACTATAAGAAACGCTTATGTGTTACGCAAAACAATGGGCGAAAATAACGTAAGTTTTGCAACATTCAAAGTGAATCTTCTCAAACAAATCGATGCTAAATACGGCACGAAAAAGTGGGGAAATACAGGTGATAGTCTCATTTGTGAGAATATATGAGCGGCAATTTTCACAGGAAATATCGTTTACTCCGGAAAAGTAAAAACAATACGACTGCTATAATTGTTATACTCTATACTGGAACTGAAAAAGCGGAAATCATTCAACGTGCAATATATTCATTGTTCCATGCATCATGGTTTTAATAGAGCTAATCTATAGTTACGTCAAATAAATCACATTGTGATATTTTATTGTCGTATATATTTTTTGCTGTTTGCAATAAAAACGAAATAATTATATTGTGATGTTGTTGTACTTTTCTTAAAAATTAAATACTCATATACAGAATAAAATTTAGTTAATTTCTATAAATTTCAGAGACCGATTTTAAACAATAAAATCACTGAGTCAAATTAAAAGAGTGCCGAATTTATAATAGATATTTTGATAAGATTAAGGCAAGGGCATCTACGGACTAATAAATAAAAGTTTAAGAAAATTACAAACTTTATAGCTATTTACGTAAATTCTAGAGTAAAGATAATTTAGCTTTCGAGTGACGCGTACGAGACAGGATTTATATTATCGTTTATGAATATCGGTTCGTCATAGTTAAGAATAACACTACTCAACATATAAAAGACTTTTATGCAAGTGATAGTACAGTAGGCGAATGCGGATGTATGAAGCACCTTATTTTTTGCGAATAGAAAAAGCATAATTTTTGAGAACATATATAATTTGAATTGTAAAATACAATTTTCACTTTTTTCGTTGTTATATATAAAAAAGAGAAAATGTATAGCGATCGAATAACCTCAAGAATTTAATATTTTTGGTATAGGGGCCTTAAAATAAAAGAATAGTTTTAAGGATATACCAACATACACACATGTATATTTGTACATATGTATATATTTAAAACTTATTAATTTTATATGTATACACATTTAATGTATAAATTTCTCTCAGTCTATGTTGTAATATGTTTATTTCTAACTTTTTACATAATACAGCATTTCATCGCGAGTTTTTAAACAGTAGTCTAATATTTTGTTATAATCTTTAGAGGATAAATGCGTGAGAATTCGTATTGTTAATATTCTACTTTAATTACATTTTAATTGATATTTACATGCAATTAGCCTTATTAGGTGTAGACAGGTATGGCTCCCATTAGACTGTAATTACTTTCAATGCTTGTCAGTTGCATTGACAGGTCTACTTAGGGAATAATAAGGCTTAACTCCCTACCCATTTCCGACATAAAAAATTCAGTTAATTCATAAAAAGGTTTATCACTATGCGTAATGAAATACGTCGATTGTGTAAAATTTAATTAAATAAAATGTACGTCCATTGAAGTTCAATCATTCTTTGTTTTCAGTCTGACTTTGTTCGATTTGGCATAACCACCTTCATTTCTTTCAGTGTGGAGTTTATTTATGAACAATCTTAATGAATTAGTCAATCAAAAATACATCCTGTAAATTATCATATTAACATTAAAAATATGTAGTAAAAAAATAGCTATTTTATGATGAAGAGGTAAACTTTTATTACAATAAGCTATATCACTAATTTATGCAGTTTTAACAAAACACGTGTAAAGTGATAATTGTTGCTTTTAAAATATCATCTTTAGTGACATTTTAAAAGCGTTGATGGGATAACGAATCTCACGGGAGTCATAATGTTTTCTTCTAAAGAGGCAAGCTAACTACCAAGCATGAACAAACAACTTAATTAAAATTGGAAATTTCTATTCTTAATCTTCTACTTTAATTAAATTGTTTATTAATACTAAGTTTAAAAAATTGTGATATAATATAACGTAAAAAATTGGAAATAAAATATGGATATTCTAATGATATTTGGGAGAACAGATTTATTTAAACTTATTATCTTAAATTAATGAGAAATTTTTTCATTAAATGTGTATATATGTATAATGAATTTCTATTAAATGTATAAATATATACAACATANAAGTTTTAAAAATTGCAATGTAATATAACGTAAGAACTTGGAAATAAAGTATTAATATTCTAATTATATTTGGAAGAACAGAAAATGCTAAAAATATTATTAGATAAACTTATTATCTTAATGAGAAATTTCTGCATTAAATGTGTATATATGTATAATGAATTTCTATTAAATGTATAAATATATACAACATATGCATGTGTGTATGTACTTTACAGTACATTCAGACACAATTTAATATTTGATTTAATTCGAAAAATAATTTATTATAACTGTGATAAGTAATTGCATTTTACGTACTGTAAGTCTACTATACTCGATAGTTATTTATAGGTCGATTTTTGTAACCAAACGTTAAATAGGCTTTTATAAATTAGTAAAATTGTAAGAGAAAAGGCTAACGGCGGCGATACACGTTAAGTTAATCTTTAAAGGATTAACCATGCTTGCCTGACCTTGAGTAATTTCTGGTAGTGTGTGGGGAAAAATTTAACAGTTTTCGCGAAGTGTACTGACCACCGGAGTAGAATTGAAGAATCATTTGACTTTCCTGCACAGTGTCAGATTGCCCAGGCCGACCTTAATCTGTGTGCCGTTGTGTCGTTCAGTTGTGAGACCGCTGAGTAGTTAGAACAATGTCTCGTGAATGTTTGAAAGAATTATTTTCTATAACCTTATTAACTTTTATTATTTATAACCTAAAATATTAATTTTTCAGGTTATAAATTATTTTTAGATAAAAAATTTTTTGAGTAAATTAAAATTATAAATAATTTTATTATTTAGAAAACATTTCAATTCATTTCTTCCGTTTACATAAAACATCTTGATACTTTATGCCATTTTCTTTTACATTTAAAAAAAAAAACTATTGTTTTAATATTCAAGTAAATTAAAACATGACAACTTAAGATAAGACAAAGTTTAATAAATTCTTTTTAATTATTAATTAAATTATAAAATTAATTTGGATAATAATGTTTACAATTTTTACTAGTATCGGATGTGGTTGAGAATTATTAATATATATTCGTCTATAAAATCTAATCCATTAATTTTTTTGGTAGTAAAATCGACTTGCCATTGATCTTTCGCTGATAAATAATGCTTTTTAACAAAATCTATAGCCCAAGATTTCTCTTGAAATTTAATTTTGTGTTCTGAAATACATCCATTAAAAAATTATTTATATGAAAAATTAATTTTGTGATCAGTGCTACCCAAATAACTACTACTACTACTCTTTACACCATAGATTTCTATACACACTTTTTCTTTTCGAGTTTTAACATAATTTGTTGCCAATAAACATTCAAGAACAACCAGTATGTCGTCATCAGATGCAATGGCCGACTGACTGACTGAGAGACAATGGCGTAGCGAACATAACTGGCTCCCGGGGCACGACACTATATTGACGCCCCCTCCACTCCAGAAAGAAATCTTGTTTATCTTGGAAAACATTTGGCGCCCCTCTGCGAGTGGTGCCCGGGGCACGTGCCCTACTTGCCGCACCCTAGCTACGTTTCTACTGAGAGGTTTTCTTCGTGTGTGAACGATAGGAAATTCTGAATTTTCTCAACGTTGCACTTTTGCATTTAATCTTAAAGCTATTAAAGACACGAATTTGGAATTATTGCATTATACACATAAAAATGTTTGTGTTTTTCAATAGATAATTAAAAAATTTAAAGCCTCTGAATGTTTAAGCAATATTACTATTTAATAATTTTACTAATATATGAAAATTTTACAGATAGTTAGTTTGTTAAAAATACAATGAGTTGTTCTCAGTCAAATTATTATAATAAATTTATATATTATATATATTTATAATAAATTTAAAATATATTCAAGATGGGATATTAAAGTTTTGGATAGATAGTTATAGACTTATTTATTTATTTATTACGCATACTGGATACACTCCTTGATGCAGGGAGCAAAACCATCTCCCAAAGAACAAAACACATAAATACAATGATCATAAGATCACAAACAGATTATACAATAATAAATTAAATAAATAAATTCAACAACGAATAAAAAAATTCGAAGTGAAGTTTCTCTTCAATAAGAATAAAAAATAAATACCTTATAAGTAAACATTTTTTGATGCAAAAAAATAATAAATAGTTAAGAACTAAACTATCTTAAGAGAATAATCCATTTCCGTTGTCAATAATATTAGTTTTTTGACTTCAGGCAACAGAAAAACGCCGAAAGTCTGCGGAAGTAGTATCGAAAGAGGTCCCAGCATTTTGTCTGTTCCTGAAAATAGTTAAAAGCATTTTTTAATCAAAAATATTAATATTTATTTCAATAATTGTCAAAATGTTTTATAAAATTTGCTTAAATTGTAAGAATAATAAAATCAGTAAAATAAATTAAACTATATTTCAATGAATAAAATATTAATAAACGAAAATAAATATTAAAATAATAACCGAATGTCAATAAATATTATGAGAAAAAATGTAATAATTTAATAAAAATTACATGATTACAAAAGGACTAATGAAATAATTTCAATGACTTAATTTCAAACAATTAATTCAGAATTAGATACAGAAAAAAAATAAAAGTGTGATCGAGAATGAGAGTTTACATGAGATAAAAAACATGTTTAATTTAGCCTAGACAAAGGTTAAACAGGAAAAAATTTTCAAACCTCTTTTTCAGATGTTAATATAGATTTTTCATTTGGCAAAATCCATTTATTCTCCACGATTTTTTTTGGTTTAATTTTATTGTTCAACTTTCCTGTATTGTTTCTTTCCTTGTACGTAAATATACCTGAAAAACATAATATTTTATGTTTAGCGTATGTGTTGCAGTTTTCTCTTTGTAAAAGTTATAATGCATATCCAAAAACCATCACGCTTCTCAAACATGCAGTTACATTATCCGTCCAAAGTCAACACAAGATATAAATGATTTCAAATACTAATAAGCAATTCAAGAATGAGAAAGTGCAAAAAGTGATAAAATTCGAATTTTAATTAAACAGATACAACAAAATTTAAAATATTTTTTATTCAACAAAGAATCTTCTGCTTAAGTAAAATAAATTGTAAAGTATTTTTCCACTTTAATTTCATTAACAATGCAGGAAACATTAATTATCTGATTTAGTGTTAAAATTATTACACAATCGAATTTAAAACTTTTATAACTGTTTAATTGTAAAAGAAATTGAAAGCCATTGTGTTATAAAAATAAGAGTAATAACATATCTTACCATATTGATCATTATTATCGATTTCTGCATCAAATTGTTCACAATTGCTTGAATTAGACTCTGATTCAATGTTATCAGATTGAGATGCATTGTTTACAGGTTCATATTCTTCGTATATAACGTTTTTCACTAATGAATACATTTCCAATTCAACAAATTTTCTAAATAAATATCGATGGTTAGACTCTGATTCAATGTTATCAGTTTGAGATGCATCAAATACAGGTTCATATTCTTCGTATATTATGTTTTTTACTAATGAATATTTTTCCAATTCAACAAATTTTTTAAATAAATAGCGATGACGTAAGCCTTCATTAGAAAATCCTGTCATCTTTAATTGTTGTTTTGTACGAAGTTTTTTATCTGCCAGATTTTTAGCCAGATACTGAAAAAATTTCAATATATATTATAAATATTAAATTTGATTCATAATATTCAACAGTTAGTTTTTTGTAATTGACGAGCGACTTTAATAACGCGATGACAGGCAGCTGCAAAAAGTGGATGTAATTGACAATAGGAAAAACATCGCTCAAATTGTCGTTTATTGTACATTATCGCAGAGTGATAATGAAAATGTTAAAACTTGATTGACGATAACACGGGGGTGTGCAAAAGTAGGTATTCAGTTAAGAATCTGAGAAACACAAATGTTTGGCATTCATTTTTATTACTTTTATAATGTTTTATTAGTTCGTATTCTTTTTTTTGTGATTTAATTTGAACATAAAAACAAATGTTTTTCTTCCTATATGTTTTTCCATAATAACATATACATACTTTTGCTTCATGTGTATATTAACTGGACTACAATATTGAAATTGTAAGTATTCACTTGTACTGTGTTGGTCTGGCTATTCGACTGTTATTTGCTAATTTCGGGAATGGAATTAGATAGATAAAAACCGAGACCATCCTAAGAGAATCTTAGGGAGCCCAAGTATCGATTAACTATATACGGTGTCCGGACTAGACCGAAAGTTGTGTGATTTTTTTTAAATAAAAAAATTGACAAAAGAATTGCCGCTTCGCATTGTAACGATGTCACAATATATTTTGGTCGTTGTCATTGTTTGCCTATCTGTTGAGAGGCAAATGTCTGTCTACTCTTTAACTGACAACAATTATTATAAGTTAGTAAAATATTTAAAAATTGAAAATGTAGTGTAAAATTGAAAATGAAAAGATTTCTGTTTTCTTATAATTGAGGAGTGAAGCAATACAAAGGAATTAATACAAAAATTTAAAAAAGAAGCAATGTTTTCGTGTACACTTAACACGAAATATTCTTGACACGCTATTTGAGTTTATTTTTTATGAAAATAAAAAGATACAATTTATAATTTTCTAATACACTCACCTGATTAAAATCCATAAAATCAGTGTCGTTAAAAAACGACACATACCCTCTAAAAAATTCGCCTCGGAAACCTGTGAACGAACATTTCACAATTACTGGTTATATATTTTCGTAATAAACTTATTGTGTTAATAGTACAGTGAACTATAGATAACATTTACAGGCAACAACTTTTAAAACTC